TCAGACTTGTTTTGTCTATTGCTGTTTCTAGAGGTTGGAGCCTTCGCCAATTGGATGTACAGAATGCGTTTCTACACGGCGTTCTCGAGGAAGAGGTCTATATGAAGCAGCCACCTGGTTTTGTGAATACCACCAAGCCACAGCATGTGTGCAGATTAGACAAATCATTGTATGGTCTGAAACAGGCACCTAGAGCTTGGTACTCAAGACTAAGCACAAAACTGCAACAACTTGGGTTCAGACCTTCAAAGGGAGACACTTCTTTATTCTTCTCCAAGAAAGGAAAGGTGACCATTTATATGCTTGTGTATGTAGATGATATAATTGTTGCTAGTTCTTCTCAAGAAGTTACCTCAGCTTTGCTTAAAAATTTGAAAAATGACTTTGCTCTCAAAGACTTGGGAGAACTGCACTATTTCCTTGGCATTGAAGTAAACAAGATACATGATGGTATACTTTTGACTCAAGAAAAATATGCCAAGGATATACTCAAGCGAGTAGGTATGAAAGACTGTAAACCATCTAGTACACCTTTATCCACAACAGAAAAACTGTCGTTGCATGAAGGAGAATTGTTGAGTGCAGAGGAAGGAACTAAATATAGGAGTGTTGTTGGTGCACTCCAGTACTTAACCTTGACACGACCAGATATTTCTTTCTCGGTTAACAAGGTCTGTCAATTTTTGCACTCACCCACTTCTCTACATTGGACAGCTGTAAAAAGGATATTGAGATATGTCCAAGGAACTGCTAGTACAGGACTCAAAATATGTAAGTCACCCTCAACTACTGTGAGTGCCTTCTCTGATGCAGATTGGGCAGGATGTCCTGATGACAGAAGGTCCACTGGTGGTTTTGCTGTTTTCTTTGGGTCCAATCTTATATCATCGAATGCAAAGAAACAAGCAACAGTCTCCCGTTATAGCAGTGAAGCTGAGTATAAGTCTTTAGCCAATGCAACAGCTGAGGTAATGTGGATGGAAACTTTATTGGATGAACTAGATGTAAAGAGGTCACACACCTCCTACTTATGGTGTGATAATCTTGGAGCAACGTATCTCTCTGCCAATCTAGTGTTTCATGCAAGGACGAAGCACATAGAAATTGATTTTCACTTTGTCAGAGAAAGAGTTGCTAGAAAATTGTTGGAGGTCAGATTTATTCCAACAGGAGATCAAGTGGCAGATGGATTTACAAAACCATTGCAGGTTCGACAACTACAAGCTTTAAAGAACAATCTCAACCTTGACACGTTTAGATTGAGGGGGGATGTTAAATGATATAGTTGTAGTTGTAGCGTGACATATGTCACGATGGTGTAACCGCGTGTGTGCGTGCGTGAGATGTAATCTAGGCAGGTTGTTGTAGTTGGAGATCCTTATCTTGTATAGACTTAGATGAGGGGTCAAGCCACACAACAACCTGCGCCATTGTACTTTGTTTTCTATATATAACACGCACGCGTCCCTGCACAAATGCATACGCTTCCAATCTTCTTTTCTTTCACCTCCTACAATCTCTCCCACCATGGTTTAGTATGGTGCTTGCTAAAAAAGTGTATGGCTGTTTGATTTTGGTTCTCTTGGAGTCTTGGTGATATCTTTCCTACCGTCTTTTTCTTTTAGTTTCTAATTTCGATGCTTTGATTTGTTGTTTTGGCCAGCAGGATAAGTAGGAGGAGCCACGGATGAGGAGGAAGGAGACCAGCAGCAGCGGGAGATATTCTTGTTCGATTTGGTTCTCATGGTGGCATCTTCCCTAGTTTTGGAAAAAGAGGCAGGTGTGGCTACGAGTGAAGCTGGCCGCTTCCATGTGGCTTCTGTGGTCTGACCCGCAACGCGGGGACGCAGTCGATTCAGTCTACAACTTTTCAGATGCAAAATACTTTCTCTGAATTTAGTTAACATCGTCTGATGGTAAAAATCCATATGCCCGTCCTGCCAGCTCCTGGTATGGTTGTTTGCTGGAGCAAGCGGGGGGCTTTGATTGGCACATGTGGATCAATTGTCCTCAGGCTCTGCAACATACGTGCCGTCTAGTAATTTGTTTGGGCGGGCAACTTTATCTTCTGTCGTTGTTTCATGCCGGCGATTTTTAGAAGATAAGGGAATCTGCATTTTTTTTTCTTTGAGAAGTTGCACATATTCTTCTCCTCAGACAACGTATTTTGTTTCCAAAGAGGATCAGCATGCCATGCCAGTACATTGTTGGCCGGCGGGTGACGGCCGTGGCGGAGCGGGGGCGACGCGGGCTAGAGCTTGTCCGGCGGGTGGAGGGCAGGGGAATAGTGTGGATGCGCTTTGGAAGTGGACTGGCCGGTCCACGCGCACGGGCTAGCCATGAGAAAGAACCTCGGCAGGGGCGAGAAGTGGTTGGACAGCAGACATGTGGGCCTGAGGGCCGAGACGACACGCGCACGTCGGTCCTGATCTTGCGGCCGAGGCTGGTGTGTTGGGCCGTGATATTTGTTCATTTTGATCCAAACGGACAGGGCGGACCAAATACGATGTCGTGTTGTAGTTGACCTTAGCATACCTCTACCCTTGCACGTCATCATTCGTCACCATAATCCCTTCATTTTTATAAAGAGTTAAATACATCTATTTTGAAACTAGAGTTAAATACATCTATAGTACCCCAACTTGCGACGCGGGAACAATTTCATAAAAAACTTGAAAATTTAGAGAAACCAGTCACTAAACCTGGTTTGCTGGTTCATTTGTACACAACTCGAGTCCGCACTTGCCACATTGGACGCCACGTGGGTCATCGGCTCTAGGAATTTGAAACTGGTTATTCATGTGTATTCATTTTGTCAAAATCATTGTTGTTTTTCGAAAACTGTCACTGTTTTGTCAAAATCAACACAATTTTTGAAAATCATGGGTATTCACATGAAGACCCAAAAATACCCCTAGCGCCGCCCTGGTCATAACCCCGTCCACATCTCAGCAACTTTTGTAGAAAAATCCCTGTTTATATGGTAAAATATCTGAAACTGAAAGTACCTAACTGAAACCAAAAGGAGAGCTCTGACACTTCACGAACACGAACAGAGCAGAGCATAGCACGGCGACGTCCCATGGACCGCTGCCGCTTGCCTCCTCGTCATGCGCCCTTGATGGCCTTGCGTCCTCTGCTGCCGCAACCGATGCAGCGTAGGGTCGGTAGCTAGGGGCGCTCCTCTGCTGCCGCAACCAGTTGTCGATGCTGTGGACGGCCGGTGGTGATGCAGCGTACGGCCGGCAGCGACGTACGCTCCTCTACTGCCGCAACCAGTCGCCGATGCAGCATACAGCCGGCGGCGCCGCCGCCGCAAAAGAATTAACAGCAAGACATCCACTGTTTTACTTTTCCCCTATCCACTCTCAATCGGGACTGTGGGTTCAATGTTTCCATTACTTGAGGTGCTCCCGCAAGATAACCAGGTAGCCGACACGTGCTCCCCTGTCGACGTGGCGTGCCACGTCGCCATTTCGGATTATTTTGTATTATTTTATTCTTGGAAAGCAAATTTAGTAACAGGTTTGTTTCAGTTTTTAAGTTTTTGTATGAAGTTGTTCATGCAGCGCAAGTTTTTGTGTACTGTAGGTGTATCTAACTCTTTTATAAAAAAAGTTCATCTTGAGGCCAGACAGTGGTATCCTCAGCATTAATAACTGTGAGACTTTGCTCATGATTACCGGCATTTAGAGGTAAAGTCGGCGCAGTTTTGGTTCCTTTTGTGCAAAAGAGAGTATCTTTTCAAGGCAGGTAGACAAAAGTTGTAAAGTTTTTTTTTGTTGAGATTGAACAAAAGCTGTAAAGTTATAGGTAATCCATGTTGTCCGGCGTGTGATGTAAAATAGGCCGAACTGTACCCAAGTCCAAAATTGAAAGAGCCATGTCACCATGCAAATCTGCTGATCTACCTCTCTCTCCGTCCACCACCGCGGGTCCTCCTTCCTGCATTTCACTAGTTGGCAGAAGCGTGAGGAACAAAACAAAACAACTGACCACGCTTTGCTTTGCCCACCGTCGGAATAGGGCATAGAAGACGGCGATGCCTTGAATCATGTGAGTCGGCTTGTGTCCTATGCCTAACCGCACCAACACTCCGGGGAGCACGGTAGGCTGGGGATTTGGGCATTGTGGAGTCGGATGAGCTCCTCTTAGACTAGGTTTTACGTTGCATGTAATAGTTTGGATTTGAGGTATCATGTTGTGAAATGAATTATTTGAGGCGTGAGGGCATCTCCAAAGAAGACCCGCAAAACTCCCGCACTTTTGTTCACTTTTGCAATCCAACACGGTTCTGAACCGGTCCGCGAAGTGGTCCGGAAGCCCGTTTTCCGGCAAACCGGAGACAAAAGTGAGGGAGAGCTATACCGAAGTCCGGACATTCACTTTGACCAACCAAACCTTCTCTTTTCTCTCTCTCTCTGTTCATATGCATTGCCCCCTCTTCTCTCTTTCCCAATCGGACACTCTGTGATTAACATCGGATTGGATGACTTACTCCGGTATCATGTCTGCGAACCGTATTCGGCCATAAAAACGAACGTGTACCGAAGATTTTTACTGGTTGATGTTGGAGATGCCCTGATCGGTCATTGTCTCGGATTTGCAAAGTCGGGAACCGACGGTACTCAGCCCGCCGACGGAGCGCGGCGGCCCCGGCCCGGTGTCGATGGTCCTGGATTCCCGCGGGCGGCCACGCGTCGCCGCGAGCTCCACCCGACGCCAACCAACGGAGAAAAGAAGCAAAGGCATTTCTCTTTCTCCCCACCACCACCACCACCTTCTCCGTCCTTCTTCTCGCCGCTGGTCGGTCCCCGTGCTACCACGCCAAACCCACTCAAAAGGTACTCAAATCTCCCCCACCGTGCCACTCAGCGACACGCGCCCAGCCCCAATATAGGCCAGGCGGCCCTCTCCCAGATCCCTCTCTCTCCTCCCTCTCTCTCCTCCCCTCGCCTCGCTCTCCGCCTCCGATTCCCCAATCAATCCCTCGACGGGCGATGCGGTGGAAGCTCGGCACCGCGGCGTACAAGCGCGTGCCGTCCCGGGACGCCGCCATGGACCCCGACCTCGAGACGCCAGGTCCGTGCGCCCTGCCATCGACCCCCCTTCGCATTTCGCCTTGTTATTATTCCCCTGCCGATTCTGTTTCGGTGACGCCTTAGATCCGGCAGCAGAGAAGACGCCCGACGGGGGCGGCGGAGGAGCAGGGGCAGCAGGCCCGTCGTGGCGCAGGTCGCTGCCGCACGTGTGCGTCGCCACCGTCACCTCCTTCCTCTTCGGCTACCACACCGGGTACGTGCGTGCGCTCCTCATCCGTCACTCCCGTCCCCACGGGTTCCATCTCACGCTCTCCTTTTTTTGTTGGATCTCACGCATGTCTGTCATGTGACGGTGCTCATGTCTGTTTCGTGATGATGTCGTGGTGGTTTGACGCAGGGTGGTGAACGAGCCGCTCGAGAGCATCTCCGCCGACCTCGGATTCGCCGGCAACACGCTGGCCGAAGGTACGCCACGCACGGCCTCTCCCTCCCTCCCTCCCTCCCTCCCTCCGTATGCACGGCCTTGGTTGCTTTGTTTGGAGCCCGGTCACGAGATCTGCGTGTGTGGTTCCGTGGACGCAGGACTCGTGGTCAGCATATGCCTGGGGGGAGCATTCGTGGGATGCCTCTTCAGCGGCTCAGTCGCCGACGGAATCGGCCGGCGCCGCGCTTTTCAGCTCAGCACCCTGCCCATGATCGTGGGAGCCGCCTTAAGGTACCATCTATTTCTAGTATGACAGCATTTCATTCATAAGCCTGCCTGTTAAATCAATACTTGTCTCTCTCCAAGTTTAGTTAATTTTGTTTAATTGCCACCTGCTGGTATTCCTTCTTTTTTATTATTGCAAGTATACACATTGACTGCTGACTGCTGATCTGGCCATTATGTGGGATTTACTTGCACCCAGAAAATAAAATTAGACCAGGAACTAAAATACAAGCAAGCAGCCTGTGCCGTCTACAATCATTTAGTACGCTTTGTTTTGCAAATATTACTACTACTTAATCTGATGTACACTTGGAAGGAACCATGGCTGCTCTCGATATTTTTAATACGATTTGGATACAAATCATTCGTGTGACTTATGTTTTGCTAGACCATACTATACTGAAGAAGAAAAAAACATTTTGCAGTGCTCTCACCAACAGCCTGGAAGGAATGCTATTTGGAAGATTATTGGTTGGAGCAGGAATGGGGTTGGGTCCACCGGTGGCTTCACTCTACATAACAGAGGTATGCATCTGGTGTTTTTGTCAATGCACAATTGCTAACAGCTGATATCAACATAGTTCGCCGATGCTCACTATATCACCTGCCTGCTTGAATCTAGGTCTCTCCCCCCTCTGTGAGGGGTATGTATGGCAGCTTTGTTCAGATTGCGACCTGTCTGGGAATCTTATTTTCTCTTCTAGTCGGTACCCCTGTCAAGGACATTGATAGATGGTCAGAAGCTTGTGCTTTACTTCTTCAATCTTCACTTGTGTGTTATAATTGATGTGTACAAAACTGATCTGTACTGACATTATCCTTCCAATGGCAGGTGGAGAGTGTGTTTCTGGGTTTCAGCTGTCCCGGCAGTTTTACAAGCTATTGCTATGGAGTTCTGTGTTGAGAGCCCCCAGTGGCTATATAAGGTGCCTTTACTTAGGAATATTGCCTTTTCCTTTTCCTTTTTCTTTTCTTGAACACGCCTGGATATTGCTTGTTTTCTCATGTCACTCTTCCGATTTATCAATTCAGAGATTCAAACGCATGGAAATACCCACTTCTCTCTGAATGAGCTTCTAGAGTTTGATGTTATGTGCCTTTGCTAGTCATAAAATAGGGTGGTGATTTTCTGAGCAGAACCTTGGATATCATTTTACTGCACTGAACTTCGGAGTTAACTTTTAGAAGCAGCACAAGTTTTGGTAAACTGTCTGCAATATAGATGTGCAGGTCTTTCCAGTTTTCACTAGTTTATGAAGGTTATTCGCTAAACTGGATATGTGTTGAATCGAACAATCTGTATATTGGGCCGTTGGCTACAATCTTTGTCCACTACTCTACAGCCTTTTGTCCCTTCAGGAAATTATTGCCTACTGCTACTTAAGTAATATTAGGTATATTTATAATTTATCTGCTCGAAAATATGAAGGAAGATGAATCCATCGGCACATATAGGTCAGATACAACACATATATATTCCTGGTACAGATCAATGAGATTCTAGGTTACCTCAGTATTTTGTTTGTATTGTGATACGTATACATCTCTGACCATGGTCCAGGGTGTATTATTTTGTTTCTTCAGTTCCAACGCGTGCGCGCTCACATGCAACTTACATCTAGGAAGTAACATGTTTAGCAGTCTTCTAAACGATTTAAAGAGTCCTGTTCTTCTATGCAGTGTGGAAGAACAAACGAAGCAGAAATGCAGTTTGAGAAGCTTCTAGGCCCTCTTCACGTAAAATCTGCTATGGCAGAACTTTCTCGATCGGAGAGAGGGGATGATGGGGAAAGTGTGAAGTTCTCAGAGTTGTTTTATGGTCGTCACTTCAATGGTACAAGCTGTCGATTGTGTCGCATTTTTCTGCTTCAGTGTGACCTTATTTCTGTTCTTCCTTGAAGTTTGTTCATTACAAGTCCCTTTTTTGCTACAGTTGTTTTTATTGGCACAACGCTCTTTGCTTTACAACAGTTATCGGGCATAAATTCTGTGTTCTATTTCTCATCAACTGTGTTCAGAAGTGTGGGGGTGCCCTCTAGCCTTGCCAATATATGCATGGGGATTGCAAATTTATTAGGTGAGCTCATTAAAGCTGTTTGTTCTTCTACTGCTCTGTTATATTCAGTTGCTGATCTTATTTTGCTGTGTTCGCTACCAGGTTCTATTATAGCTATGCTTCTAATGGACAAACTAGGCAGGAAAATGCTTCTTGTAGGAAGCTTCTTTTTCATGGTGAGCAATTACTGTAATTGTAAGATATATGGAACATTACTGACTGCACTTCCTTACTGGTGTAACGTATAGGCCTTCTCAATGGGACTTCAGGCTATTGGAGCGAATCGTCACCTTGGTTCTGCAAGTGTGTATCTTTCGGTTGGTGGCATACTGCTGTAAGTCATGCAGATTTATACCATTTAGTAGTTTGGTTCTACCATGCAAGTTTCTCAACCTTAGTTTTGGTTCTTCAAATCATCTATGTTGAATAAGTTCCCCAAAACCACCACTTTAACGGTCACTGTTGCTCACAACTACCACGATAATTTTGAGCAAAACCACCGCGATTCAGATAGGCCGAACATAACCTTGATTTTGGCTTAGCATGTTCACAAAAATCTGACAAGGCTAGGATCACCCGTTAGCTCTGAGGTGGCTAAAGGACTTGCCAAGTGAGCAGCACATGTGACGGGTGTGTGGGGATTGATCTATGATCTTCCTCCCCCTCCCCACCTGCCCCACAAACCCATAGCACACTCGATATTTGCACCCATAGAGGTCAAGCAATCCGGCCATGCCGCCGTTGAGCCGCTATGGTAGTTACTTTCTATTTACTTAACTTGTATGCTAGTCGCCAACATATGAAGCATTTTGCATGAGCTCATGGTAGGACTCCTCAACTTTTATGCCAGTTATATTTTTCTTTCTTATAATTATAAGATCACTATGGTACATATGTTACTTATAGTTGGACATTTTGTTCTGTTGGCAGGTTTGTCTTGGCATTTTCGTTGGGAGCAGGCCCAGTTCCAGGACTTCTTTTACCTGAGATTTTCCCAAACAAAATTCGGGCCAAAGCTATGGCTCTGTGTATGTCAGTACATTGGGTAAGAGTTCTCTCTTTTCAGCATGAAGCAACAATTGGTTCAAGCTAAATATTTTCATCAGATCAAACGACATCTGCCAATATGGAAAAAAATAATATGCATTTTAAATTTGTATGCTACTTTGTCATGGGCTCTGATTCAGCTGAGAGTAAATGCATAAACTAGAAAACAATGAAAATGCCTTAGTGTTCAGCAGTGCTCAAATTTGGGTAAAAGTCTAGACATGCACACCCTTTGAATGGAACAGGGAAAACAGACAGAAGGTTATGGTCGTATATCCAGTTATACTGTTGTAAGCAATTGAAGAATTGACTAGTTTCTTTCAGTTATGAGTTAGCCAGGTTGAATTAGGGATACATTCGTATGATTTTAACTTGCAAGTAGCCAAGCAGTTACGTTGCCAGACCGCAAAAGGGTGCCAGACTGGTATACTGACCCTCTTCATGTTATGAAGATTGAAAACACTTACTTTTGTTGTGTGGTCATGAAGTGTTAGACGTTATAGGCTGAAGCCTTTTTCTATCTAACAGAATTAATGCATCTCCCGTGTGCTATTAAGAAGAGAAATATAAGTAACCGTGAACACCATTTGTAGATGAAATGTTTATCCAGTCAATCCTCATCATGCAACCATGGTTTTAAATTTAGTTTGCAAGCACGGCAATTTTTCTGGCAAAAGATGAAATGAGGTGGATTTGCCATGCTCGCCAACTAAACTTGCCATGGAAGGCGTTCGATTTGCCATGTCTAAAAATCTGACATTCGCTAGATATCCGAGTCCTTTAAATATATCCAAATGGTTGCTACTGTATGTACGTATAATTCAGCGGTTTAATCGATGCAGACAGCTTCTGTAGATTTTTCCAATGTAGAGTTGGGATACCAGTAGAAAAGAATGCACCAGATATCCTTGATTATACTCCCTCCGTTTCTAAATATTTGTCTTTCTAGACATTTTAAATGGACTACCACATACGGATGTATGTAGACATATTTTAGAGTGTAGATTCACTCATTTTACTTCGTATGTAGTCACTTCTTGAAATATCTAGGAAGACAAATATTTAGGAATGGAGGGAGTAGTTCTATTCTATGTCGAATTTCCTTGAGTTATAATTGTTTCCTCTTTTGCTTACACACAATGATGCTTGACTGTAATGAGCAGGGCGTCAACTTCTTCGTCAGTTTGTTATTCTTGCGACTGCTGGAGCAACTTGGCCCACAAGTTCTGTACACAATGTTCTCGTCAGCGTGTGTGGTAGGAGCAATATTTGTGCGGCGACACGTAGTCGAAACAAAGGGGAAAACTCTGCAGGAGATAGAAGTTTCACTGTTGCAAACACAGTAAAGGTAACGCCCTCTGCTCTTTCCTTCCCTTGAGGCAAACCATTTCAGCTCATCTCTGTGTAACTAGGGCATGTGGATCGCGAGCAGCGCGTTGAGGAAACTTACATGCCCTTGTTGTTGCAGGTTTCACCGAGGCAGTATCTTCTGCATGCTGGGAAGGAATGAATTCAGTGGCGTTTTTGTCGCTGAACACCAGCCGGGCGGGCGGTCTGTTCCCAGATCAAGTGATCTGATCATCTCCTGCGGACAGAATCGCCCTACGCTCGGTGTAAGTTCCCGGCCGTGCACGAACCTGTGACCGCTAGAGCAGTGGCATACTATCTTAGGAATACATACATACATATATGACAGACTGGTGAGGAGTTTTTTTGTCTGTTTAGGCTGATAGTTGTTGGCCCTATGTACTATATTGTGTTGTCTTGTGCTTAACTGTTGGTCAGTAAGGGCAGACTGGATTTTGGATGCTGATGAACGAACGCTGTCGTAACGGTTTACTATAGTTTGGAATAATAACAGCAGTTACATGCCTCATTGGATGCATTTTACTCCAGCTTCTACCCGGGTTTGCTCGGTTTATAGAGAAATGTAGAACTATGTGCCCTGTGTAGAGTTGGCAGTGATTCAAAAAACAGGAAGTTGTTGAAGTTAGCTACACAAAACATATAGCCACAACTTCTCTTCAAAGAACCACCGATCCTGAGCCTGATGACAATTTTGATCCATCTGTGAGGAAGCCGTTGCTTAGGAAGCTCGTCTTTGGTAATTGTGGTGTTGCGTATGTGCGTGCCCAACGGGTTTGGGTTTGGGTTTGCAACGACTCTGTGAATCGACCGGATGATCCAAATCACCAAAACAGAGATGAGATGGCTTCAGAGAGTTTTGGTGATTTTGAGTTTGATCTATAAGCACATAGCAGGAAAAACTATCACCGCTCATCTCTGTTTCCTTTTGATAGTATCATCATTTTATGGACTCAATTATACCAAGATATAATTTGATTTTGTATCTCTAAATAAAAATAAGAACTCATCCTTCTTAGCAACACTTGTCTTTGAAGAAGTACAGGGGTCATCAACCATCATCCTAGTTGCATCTTTTAGGATATATATAATCTGAAGTTGATCAGCTGGGCTTTTGCTGTTGCTAGAGCAAGGGGAGCTTGTTGTTTTTTCTAGGGGTAAAACACCACTTTATTCGTCATATTCCACATGATGTGCGATGTCTTCATGGCGACTTGGTCCTCTAGAAAGAGAAAATTTAGCTAGACTATGTGCTTCATAATTAACAGCACAACTCTCAAAAGTAAAATTACACTGGAAGGAAGAAGGTTTAAGGTTTATCTCGCTTAATATTGCTCCATATTGCCCTCGCGAACTCGCATTGATGTCCAGGACCACCTGTCTGTAGTCTGAAGCAACCACAAAATTTATAATATGCAGATCTTCTGCTGGGGATAGTGCTTCGCGACATGCTACTGCCTCCAAAGTAGCTGGATCAAAACTTCCTTCAATGACTAAGGCCGAACTATCAATGTAGTTGCCTGCATCGTCCCTGCACACCGCTACTGCGGATCCTCCTCGTGATCGCACCCCCGCGTCGACGTGGATTTTGCAGAAGCCCGGCGGTGGCTTCTTTAGTTTCAGTTGACGTGCTGCTGGAGTCTGAGGGTTTGGACAGGGTCGTTGTTTTAAGTTGCCAACAATCCCTAGCTCTTCAACAAACCTCTGAACAAAAAGATGTGTTGCTTGAGGGAGCTTGGTGCATCTGGATTAAATGCGTTTTATGAGCTGAAGCTTAGGCTCGGCGGAGCCCAATGGCCAGCCCTGTAGGACAGGCATCAGAGTCTAAATTATTTTGTACTGCTAGTTATCACATTTTTTCGGGCGCCCCTATGTCTGGCCAGTGGTAGATCTAGAAAAATTGCAAGTTTATTTTTACTAGTGCATATTTATATACATTATGCTCATTTTTGTGCCGTTCGATCATCTTTTCCCATGCTTGCCCCCACGTTGGTAAGATTCTAGATCCGCCAGTGTGTCTGGCATTCACCGAGAGAGAGGGAACCCCTTGCTGAAGGGAGCCGCTAGTTGGGTCGGCCCAGGCACACGGGAAACAACAACCACTTCTCTGTTTTGTTTTATCCATGTTTGTTCTTTTTAGTTTTTGCTTTCATCTTTTTACTTTTGTTTATACTTTCAAATATTCTAATTAAATATATTACAAAAACCACTGTACATAAAAACATTTGTAAAAGGTTGACCAAGCATTTGAAAAATGTTAAATGTGTATAGAGAATTTTTTTATCACGTATACAGAAAATAAAATGTGTATGAAACAATTTGATGTATCTAAAAAAAGATAATCACGAATTTGCATTAATTTTGAAGAAGTTTTTGAAAAATGTTAAGCAAGCATTTAGAAAATGTTAAATGTGTATAGAAAAAAAATGGTTGAACAAGTACTTGAAAATGGTAAATGTATATACAAAAATATTGAGAATGTATTATAAAATGATGAAAAAATTGATCATCTATATATCAAGCATTTGAAAACTATTGAAGAAATAATCGAAAAATGCTAATCAAGCATTTTAAAAATGTTAAATGTGTTTGAAAAAATGTTGACCATGTGTTAAAAAATGTTAATATTGTATTTAAATTTTTTAATCAAGCATTTGAAAAATATTTAAATATGCATAGGAAAAATGTTGACCATGTATTAGAAAAATGTTAATCTTGTATTTTAAAAATGTTAATCAAGCATTTGAAAAAAGTTTAAAGTGTATAGGTAAAATGTTGACCAAAAACAACAACGGAGCCTTTAGTCCCAAACAAGTTGGGGTAGACTAGAGGTGAAACCCAAAAGATCTCGCGACTCACTCACTGTTCTGTCACATCGATAGTGAGCTTCCATGTACCTCTATCCATGGCTAGTTCTTTGGTGATACACCGGTCCTTCAGATCTCTCTTTACGGACTTCTCCCATGTCAAGTTCGGTCTATCCCGACCTCTCTTGATAGTATCAACACGCTTTAGCCGTCCGCTATGCACTAGAGTTTCTGGAGGTCTGCGCTGATATGCCAAAATCATCTCAGACAATATTTGACAAACTTCTCTTCAATCGGCATCGTTTTGTACACGGTCCTTCCTCGTGTGGCCACACATCCATCTCAACATGCGCATTTCTGCCACGCCTAACTATTGAACACGCCACCTTTTAGTCAGCCAACACTTAGCGCCATACAACATGGCGGGTCGAATCACCACCCTATAGAGCTTTTGTGGCACTCTCTTGTCACAGTGAATGCCAGAAGCTTGGCACCACTTCATCCATCTGGCTTTGATTCGATGGTTCACATCTTCATAAATATCCTCATCCTTCTATAGCATTGACCCCAAATATCGAAAACTGTCCTTCTAAGGCACCACTTGCTCATCAAGGCTAACCTCCTCCTCCTCCTCCTCCTCCTCCTCATGCCTAGTAGTACTGAAACCGCACCTCATGTACTCGGCTTTAGTTCTACTATGTCTAAAACCTTTCGATTCCAAGGTTTATCTCCATAGCTCTAACTTCCTATTGACCCCCTTCTGACTATCATCAACTAGCACCACATCATCTGCAAAGAACATACACCATAGGATATTGCTACGTCTTGAGCTTGCGTTGGTTTTCCTTGAAGAGAAAAGGGTGATGCAGCGATAATAGCGTAAGTATTTCCCTCAGTTTTTGAGAACCAAGGTATCAATCCAGTAGGAGGCTCCTCAAAAGTCCCACACACCTACACAAACAAACAAAGAACTCGCAACCAACACAATAAAGGGGTTGTCAATCCCTTCACGGCCACTTGCGAAAGTGAGATCTGATAGAGATAGTATGATAAGATAAATATATTTTTGGTATTTTATAATATAGATGCAAAAAGTAAAGATGCAAATAAAAGTAGATTGGAAGCAAATATGATAAGAGATAGACCCGGGGGCCATAGGTTTCACTAGAGGCTTCTCTCAAGATAGCATAAGTATTACGGTGGGTGAACAAATTACTGTCGAGCAATTGATAGAAAAGAGAATAATTATGAGATTATCTAGGCATGATCATGTATATAGGCATCACGTCCGCAACAAGTAGACCGACTCCTGCCTGCATCTACTACTATTACTCCACACATCGACCGACTCCTGCCTACATCTAGAGTATTAAGTTCACAAAGAACAGAGTAACACATTAAGCAAGATGACATGATGTAGAGGGATAAACTCAAGCAATATGATATAAACCCCATCTTGTTATCCTCGATGGCAACAATACAATATGTGCCTTGCAACCCTTTCTGTCACTGGGTAAGGAGACCACAAGATTGAACCCAAAGCTAAGCACTTCTCCCATGGCAAGAAAGATCAATCTAGTAGGCCAAACCAAACTGATAATTCGAAGAGACTTGCAAAGATAACTCAATCATACATAAAAGAATTCAGAGAAGATTCAAATATTATTCATAGATAAACTTGATCATAAACCCACAATTCATTGGATCTCGACAAACACACCGCAAAAAGAGTTTACATCGAATAGATCTCCACAAGAGAGGTGGAGAACATTGTATTGAGATCCAAAAAGAGAGAAGAATCCATCTAGCTAATAACTATGGACCCGTAGGTCTGTGGTAAACTACTCACAACTCATCAAAGGGGCAAGGATGTTGATGTAGAGGCCTTCCGTGGTCGATTTCCCCTCCGTCAGAGTGCCGACGAAGTTTCCAAGATGAGATCTCGCGGATACAGAAGGTTACGGTGGTGGAAATTGTGTTTCGTCTGCTCCCTGGATGTTTTCGGGGTACGTAGGCTTATATAGGAGGAAGAAGTACGTCGGTGGACGCCCGAGGGGCCCACGAGACAGGGGGGCGTGCCCTATAGGGGGGCCCTCCTATCTTGTGGCCGCCTTGGCTGCTTCTTGACTTGCACTCCAAGTCCTCTGGATCACGTTCGTTCCAAAAATCACGTT